AGTACTGTAATTACTAAATAATTCTGTTTACATAAGACTTTCGTACAAAGAAAACTTGTGAAGATATTTCTAGTTAGTATTACATCTATACAGATGTTCACGATCTTATTATAGCGTGCGACATTTCCGCAATGCCGCGATCAGTATAAAAACTGCAACATAGATTATATTAGGGCAGTCTGCGCCAGCACAGGAAGTTATAAAGGGAACCAACGATATATTACGCGTTTTATCATAGCTGTTACGTCCTCGACACTATGTGTTATGCATTTATTTGATATTGTAATCGGTTGTTGGAAATATTGCAGTTATAAGCAAAAATATTACTCTTTGCTCGTTTTGCTCATTACTTTCGATACCAATGCTCTCAAACTTAAATGGCATCTGTTAGGCTGGACCAGATTTTTAATCACACAGTAAGTTCTTCTCTGGGTTTGTAGTTTCCTCTACACTATCCTATTATCGTCCGGCGATGTTGTAAATGTATTAGACTGTCAAATGTATTGGATGAATTCGAAAAATCGAAGAATTAAAGGGGAAAAAGAAATATCTTAGTTCTTAGGTATGATAAACCTACCTGAGCCATAATATACACGTTTATTTCAGACAATGTTGTAACCTTGGATAATAGAGCATATGGAAGTGTATACAAAATATAGAAGCCAAACGCAACACGAAATTGATAATAAAACCTTTGTTTTTAAAGAAATGTTCTCTAAGTGGTATAATTTCGTTCGCTCGAACATTTCCTGCTAATGTTATTAAGCGAAAGAATCGTCTACCAACGGATCCAATTATGACATGAAATTGTTTCATAAAACGCACAAAATTTGGACATCTTTACGATTTCTAGATATAAATTACTACCTGCTATGTATTTCGTATTTTGTTTGCGATATAGTACTTACTGTAAAATTTGTCGTAATCAACTACGCGTAACCCTTTTTTGAGGCATCTCTGTTTATCTGTACGTTGATGACAGTTCCGTAGCGGAGCGGATCATTCATTTATGATTCAATAAAAACAGCTTGAATAACAGTTTTTCTTTTCTAATAATTATAACCCCTGTGTAGGAAAGAAACAATGCGATTGTATTCATATTTATAGGTCTGTGTTTCTTGGAGAAAGTTGTTCAGTTCCATTGATATCAAAATGTCTCTTCGCTATGATATGTTCAAAGCATTCCTAATTTGATATAGAAAAGTTAGAAACTTTTATATGTCAAATATATTCTATAAGTCAACTAAATCGGGAATACAAAACAATCCTGAATACGTTTATAGGCGCAGCTCTTACACTTTGGATGAAATTCAAGTATGCTTGAAGAATGTCAAATGTCATGAAATGTGCTAGTAGTCGACTAATGCATAAATAGGCCTATCTTGGATTACTTTTGTGAACATATCTATTTTTATTTTAAATTTATCGTCGAGCAAAATTAGATAGAAAACGATAATTAACCTTCGTGACAAAATTACTCTAGTATCGCATAGCACGCCACGCCTTTGGTTAGCTAATAAATTAGACAGACTGAAACCATACGCAGTCAGTGGCGATGGCAAGTTTAGAAAATACTGTATAAATTTGGCGTCACCGTGACGTAATAATATTTGTTGGCTGTCCTTACATTGTCACCATGTAGGGTTGTCATATGTCCTGGTTAACACCGTTTGATATTGGTAAAGAAAGGTACAGGGCCGGAAGAAACCTCATACACAATTTTACGCTGATAGGCTTGGGCTCATAGCCTATTCAAGAATACAAGTAAATTTTATGAACATGAGAATAGGTTTCATTTGTTTGATCAGTTCGAAATTTAAAAAAACTTTGTCTATAAAATAAGTTTTTGTTGCATAAAGCCATGAAGAAATCGCAATGATTATACGCATCGGAGTTCAAACCTTGACGCTATGACAGCCCTATCCATATGGAACTAAAAGTAAACCCACACAGCGTTTAGCATTCGAAACCCGTTTGATAGATGGGCAGCTGGTTTCACTTTTTGCAATCGGTAATCGAACGGGAAGGACAAAACCTATACTTGATGATAGTAATTAACGAGTATGATTCTTTAATTTAAAGATATCGTTTAATAAGAATGGCTTCCGGATATTTTAAATGGAGTCTAATACAACATACTCGTATGACTAAATTTATTTCTTACTAGCGACCTGCCCCAAATTCACCCTGAAACAATCCTTGTGGATCTCTAATCTTTATGTAGTATAAAATGTTTCCGCTATCCGTTCGCTAGATCTATTAAACTACCCATGGATTTAATAATACAATTAAAATAATGCTGTTCTTAGCGATAGATACAGTGATTCAAGAGGACGGTTTATATGTACATCCGTGCAAATCTAGCATTCTAATAAAATACATGTTATGTTTCTCGTTGATAATGCTCTTTCTATTTCCTATAAATAGAAAGTCTCATGAAATAGTATATTAAGAGCATAATAAGTGCGTAGGCACCCGTTGTGTTGTCATAAACTATAGATTAACGAAAGCCTTCCACTAATTTAGGAACTACAATAGAACTTGCTAAATTTGTGACCGTTCTGTTTAACTTCATTAAATCTCGCTTTCACTGAAGGCTGTTAAATAGTGTCTGATCTATGAATATAATTGTAATTACTTCTGTCCAAATCGTATATGAATTCGTTTTCTATAGTAATCTATAGGTACTTTAGAAATAATCTATATAGAGATAAATTGTGTATGTTTGGAATATTCTCCGGTACTACTAGACTGTTTTTGAATATTGGTTTAGTGTTAGATATCTTATTTAGCGAGGAAGCCTATGGGCTACATAACATCACGCTATGACCAATAGGAGCGAAGCTGAAATGAAAAAAACTTACAAAAACAAGGAAAATGTGACCCAAACAAACTTGCTGTACAAATGCAAACTTGTTGTATAAATGCACAATTTGCTCTTCGTTTTCTTAAACCAGTCTAAGGCTGATACATTGTTTGTCTTATTATTTAGCAAGTTTTATGTTCACTGATGGCATTTGTACATTAAGACAAGTGTTACTATATATTATTCTGTGTTTGGTTTTATATATATTTTTATAGTCTGTATTGATATATTGAGTAACATATGGTCCCTCTGACCTAGTATCTCTGACTGTGTAAAAAGAAAAAAAATTACGTACTCATGTAGTAGTGTATGGACGTTTTTTAATATATTATTACATAGTATAAAACAAAAATAGTTGTCGTTGTCTGTCCGTCCCTATGTATGCTTAAATCTTTAAAACTACGCAACGGATTTTGAAGCGGTTTTTAATAGTTAGAGTGATTCAAGAGGAAGGTGTATATACACCTACACCTATAATACATGTACACCCGGGCAAAGCCGGGGCGAGTAACTAGTAATTAATAAATTCGTTAACAGAGTGAATATACTAACGTACCACTTGGTTATTAATTTTTCAAACCGACAGTTGTTGTTCTTACTTGTAATTCCACAGATCCTTTACAGGAACATTTACCGCTACTATTCCAGTCAGGCATTTCATAACCCTGTTACGTCAAGTTGATATTTAAACCAACTATCACCAGGTTCCCATAACAATCGTACAGACCACACGTTGCATACGTAACGCGAAATCTTCACCAATTTTGGATCGTTTATATTCGTGCACGGTGAATGCACAAATTGAATTTGGAGCTTTTATTTTGTAGATTAAATGAAAATAAATCTTATTTCAATGCTCGGTAGATGTAAATTGATTAGAATTTGAGATGTGATTTGAAAACGCTTGTTCGCCTTATCGGTCAGTTACCGCGTGCTCTCATAATTGAATCTCATACGAAGTGTTTTATTGGAGTTGACGCTGCATATTTATTAATTGATTATAATTTTACTACGAACGAGTGGTTATTTTTAGATTATAGATTATAATTAGAAAGTCTAATATTATAGTTATTGCATGGTTCAATCACTTTATATTAATCAATCCTTTAAAATATAAAATGAACGATGTTGCACACTTGTATTATTTTATTACATTTTATATTAAACTAGCTGACCCGTGCAACTTCGTTTGCGTTTCATTTCCCCACATTTTGGTATATTTTTCATTCCAGCTCCGCTCCTATTGGTCGCAGCGTAATGTTATACAACTTAAAGCCTTCCTCGACAGATGGACTATCCAACACAAAATATTTTTTTTTAATTCGAACCAGTAGTTCCTAAGATTAGCGTGTTCAAACAAACTCTTCAGCTTTATACAATTAGTATATATTTATTTTCGTTGATTTTTCTTCCGGTACTTAGTAGAATAGTTTCTGTTTAGTAAAATAGAACTATTTATTAGCAAGATATTTCAGACCTGATATTAGAACGTAATTTTCCTAAAAATATATGTGTTTGAAAACTGAAAACATTTTTCAATTTCAACCCTTCCTTGCCATAGTAATTAACTTTAAATTTATTTGTAGATTTAAAAGTGAGCAAATTTATAGTCGCTATTTCGAATGGACATTGATTATATAAACGTTAAATAATAGGCGCAGACCTAATTAATTGAAAATATAGGCCTCATCATGCAATAGGAACCGGATGGATAGTACTGCTGTAGAATTCCAACTTATGAAATATTCTTTATTAATTTATTACTTGTGTAGGCGGGTGCACTATTCCATTAGCATCCATTAAAAAAATCTTATTATTTTATTTATATTTATGTTTATGACTGAATAATAAAGAATATTTCATAAGTTATTAAATTCGGTAGGAGGTACTACTTTTGCGGTCTGCTGAGTCGGCTAGTATAATAATAATATTTATTCAGATTTGTGACATAAGAAAATTCTATAGACCAAGAAAATCACAATTTTATGAATGCTAAGAATATTACATCCATAATAATATGTCCTTCCAGAAACGATTGCAAATTAATTTGTCATCGTTAGTGCACAAAATAGAGACAGTAATATCTATTTAAAAACTGCAAGTATCAAATCAATAAATTCCAATGTTGTTTCAGATGAATTCCTCGCGTTGCCGGACAAACACAAATTCGACTCGAGAACATACGTCAGACCGAAGAAACGGATACTTAGGCCGAGCATACAAAGTATTGTAGAAGTAGCCTCAAATCCTTCGTCAATGTCGCCAAACCCGTCGCTCAACCAGTCTACCAACAAATACCTAACGTACAACAAATATAATATGCCAATGGGACCTATCAGTCCAATGTTAAGATTGAAAACGTTTAATGTCGACACGAATTCAGAAAACAGTCATGCTGTCAAAGAATATGCTTTGAAGCGACGGAGTTTAGTTCAGGACGATGATCCGCAGGTATGTAATATTCTTTTAATAAGATTAAGCATTTTTTATTTATGTAACTGGTATGACAAATGAGCTGCGAGAGTGAGCTACCTTAGCAGAAATCTGGTCGACCCAACCACCCACCTGATGGTATGTGGTAACCGTTAGCTATTTGCATGACCAGCACCACTGACATCACGCAATCGTGTGACACCTGTCCCACTCTAGAAGACTAAGATGTGGCAGCGTGTACTCTTACCTTTATCAAGGATATTTAGTCCGAGATAGTACCGCATCTATTGTTAAGAGTTTCCTTCAATTAAAAGTCTACTAACTAAAGTCTAAAGAGTCTGTACTACATGTACATAACTAAATAAATGTACATGTAGTACAGACTTTTTAGATAATAGCATCGAAGTTTTTAGTTTTGCTCTTAAAGCTTTATTCACTGATTAGATGTAGTGAAACACTGCAATATCATATGTAATGCGATGCGTTTAAGATCGTTATTCCGATGTGTAGAGAATTGACACAGTGTAGACGAGAAAAGGTGAATGTCCTTACTGGTTTTGACTTAGGTTTACAATGGTTGTCACCACCACGAGATAATCTAATGCAAACAAGATTATATTTGTGAAGTTTATTATAACAGGGGCTCGTCCTGACTACGTCCGTGTTGAACAATATCTCGTTTATAACAGTGTAAAACAAAGTTCATGTTTTTCCTTAACGGTTTCTTTACATACCTTTCGAAACCAAGTCACGGTATTCACAATAGTTTATAGAATTTCATTCAGAAGGTTTATTCAAATAATACATAGCTATCCAGAGTCCTCAGCTTCACCGGACTCTCGTCCGTTATTTAATTATATTAACATTATAATGAACGCAATACTTTACACGCCCAATTTTCATTTGGTATATTTGAATTCACTGTGACAGAGAGCGATAAGGACACCGTCTTATACACAAGTACAGACAACAGTAGAGACAGATCCTTTAACAAAATAATCCCTTGAAAGCTTTATCATGGCCTGGCTCTTTAGTTCTATGATCAATAGGACAAGATTCCTTATTTGCTATAATCGTTAAGCTTTATGCTTAAAACTTTCGCTGAAGCTGACAGTCGACCAAATAGTACGAATCAAACATCCTAAACGAATGTAACATCCTTATGAAGTTGAGGTGTATTCGTAGTATAGTATACCATTTATATTCATCTGAAATAAAGTGAATTTATTTCAATGCTTCGTCTGTGTCATATTTCCCTTGTTTTTGCGACATTTCTTATTGCGTCTCCGCTCCTACTGGTTGTAGCATCATTACATAGTGTAAATAAATAATACATATAAACCCGGGCGAATACGGGGCGAGTAGCTAGTTAGCGATAGTTAGCTATAGCCGTCCTCGTTAAATGGACTATCCCACACTGAAATAATTTTCAAAATCGTCTGAGTAAATCCAGAGATTACCCCCTACAACATTTAACCATACCTTTTTATAATATTTGTAAAATTAATAATTTTGAGCGAATCTGTGCAAATTACTAATTATATAGGTACTCATATCGTAAACATAAACTCATATGAATGAAGTGACACACAGATTTATTACTGGGCGTATAAAAGATTCTTGACCGTGACTCTGAAATGTAAGTTTACATAACGAACAAGATGACGGCTATATTCTGAATATCACTGCCAACTGATTTAAGTGTAACAGTAAACGGTGAATTTTAAAACTGGATTAAAACCAGATTCGGATTAACGGTGTAAAACGTATGTTTAATATAAATATGTATCTTTATTCAATTCTGGTGTAATGATGACGATGACGTTTAAGAGGTAATAAGCCTGATGCGATCTTAATTTTTGTGCATTCTTTCTGCGAAATTTAAGTACTTTTGGTTTAAGAAAATAATAAATAAGGAGTAATATGGGATTCCATTCCTCAAAGAGTTTTAGTCTTTGAGTAAATTTTATTATGGACAATAATAGAATGATGCATTTACGCTGGCGGGGCACCAGTGGTGGTGATAAGATAAGCATGAGGTCAGGTCTATTAGCCCATCTTGGCAAATAGCAATTTACCACGATTGTTTCCAGAGGGAACCCCGTGGAGCTAAATCTGAGTGTACCATGTATTTTGCTAGCAAATGGGGTATTAGTTCACATTACTAACAATCCCTTCCCTCAATCTCTCCCTCTAGGAGTTGTATATATTTAATTATTTAAAAAATATTAATCCTAGAAGAACTTTTCCTCGTCTATGCAACTAGCAGAAGTAGGACGGTAGGGATTGTGCCAAAACATCTTATGAAGAAAAACTGTTTATGTTCATAACCGACAGCATTAATTTGTAAAAAATACAGCGTTTGCCATATAGGTCCTCAAATAAACAGATATTGTACTATGGACACTATAATAACAAATACATGCTATATCATAATAAATATTACACAGGGCAATTCTAACAACGCCATCTAGGCCCAAGCTAATTAGAGCTAATGTTATGGGTAATATTTTTACACAACTGACAGATATACTTAAATACATATACCTAAAATGCATACATTTTTTTTTTTGAGCTTTGATAATGGAATTTTGCACCCGCCAGCGCTTACGGTTTACGCTGGCGGGGCACTAGTGGAAGATGATAAGATGAGCATGAGGTCAGGTCAGTTAGCCCATCGTGACAAATTCACCAGGAATTTAACACGATGGTTTTCAGGGGGAACTGCGTGGAGGTCGACCTGACTTGGTACATTGCTAGCAATGGGGTTATCAATCCACATTACTAACAATCCCTTCCCCCCAATGCATACATATTAGTACATACAATAATACCCAGACCTATATAAACATGAAAATATCTATAATACGGTCTCCTCGCGGATTAGCGGTGGTCAGAATAAGCAATAGAAAATTAAACGTTATCGTTAAAGTTATTTATTACAATTTAATATAACGATTATAAAATCACAATATGAAAATCAATTATCGATAGATAGTGAAAAGATAGGTAATTACGTATTCGTCTTATTATTGCTTAGTGTAATCTGATTTAAGTTGTTAACTAAATTATTACACTGTACACCCAACTGCACATATAGGTCATTATGTAATTGTTGCAGTAAACTGTGCTCATCTTATTAGTGACAGATGATCTAATTATTGAACACTATTTTACTTTCATCGTCTACATTATTTTAATTTTGTGAATGTAATTCGGTGACTTTATTAAAGTTTAGTTTAAGTTGCATATTGGTTCTTCTCGAGAATACTGTCTCTAGGCGATCACCAAAGATTAAAATTTGCATGTGAGTGTGACATCCAGAAAATTGGCATATCGATCTATTATAAAATCACCTGGCAAGCGCAGTAATAGGTCGAATCCTTCGCATTACGAGCAGAAACTGCACCTTAAGTAACAACATTAAAAAAATTCCGGTATTTTTATATTCCATAACAAGAAAGAAAGTTATGTATACCAAATATGAGCTTGTGTAAAAATTTACAAATTTTCAAACACCGTTTGAACTACTTGAAAAGGATTAATTTTTAATCCTTTACCAAAAAGATTAGAAAGACTACGAATGGATTATATAAAGAAGATATATACCGATTTAATATTAATAATAATCCAGGACATTTCACACAAGGCATCTAGTTGCAAACTAAGCAGAGCTTGTACTATATACTAAACATCTAATAATATTTTTTATTGTTATAATAATATTATATGTTACATTCATAATGCACTCTATCCATTAAGCTTATAAAATTACCACATTACATTAACCAAAGTCATAGATCAAATTATCCAATAATTTAATTTGTTCTACAACTTTGGTCATCAGAAATCTTGTTACGCTTAACTTCGTTCACTTAAATTTACACTAACGTGTTGAATCGGTAACGGACCATTATGTTGTGAAATTATTATTGTGGGTGTTAAATTTCTATTAAGAAATTTGTGTTAATTTGACATTTATAAGCGTATATTGTTAGCAATTAATCTATAGGATTTGAATAGGAGGTAAATCGTACTAACGTTCGGGATAATCTCCAATTCTATAAGAAAATAAGAATTAACAAAATCGTATCGATTTTGTTAATTCTTTTAGTGTTCGCTAGACATAACACGACATTCGACATTCACGCTACGGCCAATAGGAGCGAGCTGCAATAAAAAATATTGCAATAATGTGCCGCAGATGATTATATTTCAAAGCTTATAAAATAGTGTAAAACTTTGTTAAAATATCTATGAAATTAGCATAACGGGATTATAAGAGTCATTGCTAGTCATTGATCGCAAAAACAAACTTAAAAATCAGTTCGAGATAATCATGAAATTGCATAAATAAAATGTTCGTCATTTAGGTAGTTTAAATTAATTGAGAACGTGTTCTCACGTTTATGTTATTTGCCTATCTGACCTAGTAGCATTTCTGCTATATGTTCGGGTTTATATATGGTGAGATTGCAGGATATATGTAGAAGTATGGCACGTCCTTGGGAAATCAATGCATTGTACCCATCACAATGTCACATGTAATATCAATGGTAATATCATGTACGGGACATGTCTAGAGGCGACAGTTACCGGTTTCCATTTTGCTTGTTTATCATTCATACATAGTATAAAACAAAGTTGCCGCTGCTGTCTGTTCATATGAAATTAAATAAAAATATCTTTATTCATGTAGGTCTATTACATACTCTTATGATATATCAAATCTACCGTCAATTTGGAATGATTTCGGGATGAGAAGAACTGACTTTCTTGTCAGTTCTCAGTTACTGCTGAGCTTACTCAGCTCGCTTATGTATCTTAAATTACGCAACGGATTTTAATGCAGTTTTTAGCAAAAGATAGAGTGATTCAAGAGGAAGTTTTACATACATATAATACATGCGTGTTATGGTATAGAACCAGCAGAGAAATTCAAAGATTTCTAATGCATCCGTGCGAAGCCGGGATGGATCACTAATAAAAAATAAATTGAAATATTTTTTTTAGTTTTCTTTCATTTCATTATTAAAGAATAATGATCCATTCATGAGCAAGTATTGGCAAAAATACAGTTGATAAAAATATTAATGATGCGTGGTGTGAGTATTATGTCATGTGTTTAAGAATATCGGTCTTTGCATCATGAGCGCATCACAGCCGAGTGACTGTTCTTGTATATTTACATAAGTGTGTTGTGGAATGTTTGTTTATGTCTTGTCGTCATTTCTTTCTTTATCATAACCATTCAATAGAGATGTGACATTCTGTTCAAAATATAATTACTTTACAAAAATAAATAAATATAAATACACTTTAATATTAAAATAGATTAAATTTTTTTTCATATATTACTAATTTTCACATCCCTGGCATTATATCTGATTTACTATTGAAATTATGACTTGCATGCTTTTCTCCTATTGGGTACACAGAAATAATAGGACACCATATGCTCCAATTCCTCTTTTAGTGCCTCTACATCTTTCTAAATATACAAGAGAACACCAGAAATTTAGTTTATTATAATTACAGCTGGAAGACCTGGATGTAATGCCATCAGCGGATCCATTGGAGAGGCTATCAGAGCGCACGCCGTCGATACCAATTAACATAGATCTGTCACAGCCGGCACATAATCTGCACAATACCTTCAACAAGTAAGTAATGCTTATGGTCGTTATTACTTATGAAAGGGATGGTTAGAAGGGCAGAGAAAGGCCGAAAAAGAGATGGATACACTGCGTGAAAGATGATATGATGAAAGGAAGTAAATAACGAGATGACTGCGAACATAAAAGCAGATGATGATGATGATAATGGATATACTTCGAATAGATAATATTAGTATAGACGAATCGAGCAGTCAAAAAAAGTTGCCAACTTTGAAATAATAGTAGAGAAATGGAGAATTTCTGCCGTTCTCAATTTTTTCTATTTTTAATGCAGTAAGTATTGCTTCGACCGTATCGATTTAAGATTTAAAATCGAGAGCGACGAAAATGCAACTTTTTGTATTAAAGCTTATACAAAAAGTTGCATTTTCGTCGCAACTTATTTCTCAAAGCTCAAATACGCGTGGCACGCAATGCGGGCTAGTAGGGTATATATTTGCATATTTGAAGCTGTCTGGCGCGTTAATGATGTACCTACTCCGAACGAAAAATATAGCTACTAATGTGGTACGTTAAAAAAGAAATCCAACATAATGACGGTAATTGACGCTGAAATAAGGGTTCAATTTGAAATGTCTGGTAAATGGTGTAACTCCAGATTGCGTAAAGTACTGCGTAAAAAGTGAATTTGACTATATAAAGTATGTCGGTTTAACTTTTGCCTACAATAAACTCTGTTTAATTAAGAATTAAACGTATTGTCTAAAAATGAAAATTACTATAATTCAAACAATATATTTTTATTTGGTTATTCTACATAGTTAAGACGTTTATAGCTATTTTAAAAACTGCTTCAATTTATTAGATAGATACCGTCAGCTTACTTTTCTCATTGAAATAAACCAAGCATATTTTACAAGTGTCACAGAACAATAAATATAAATTCCAAATTACATGTTTTCCCATAACAGACATTTCTGCTACACTAAAATATTAACAACTCCATTACTACGTTAGTAGGTTATTAAACCACGTGAATTCAGACAATGAACTCGGCTTGTTAAGAAAAATGGCGTGAATGGAATTTTTGTCTTTGAACCAATCGCCAAATGGCTGCATCTAATTTGAGTGCTCAAAAAATAGCCTGCTCTAATATTAGAAAGAGATAAATGCATTGTAGCAGACCACTTCGCCATCGAAATGCCCCTGAAGCGTTTGTAAGAGGTATTACGAAATGTTTTGGCATTGTTTACGTTACTAAAGCAATTAAGAACATATTAAAAGTAACGTTTGGTCATGTTTTTATAAACGCAGTGTTTTGATATGCTTTATTTGAGAGAAGATATGTACCGCACCGTTTCTGAGTATTTATAGCTGTTGTCACTTGCTGATATATTCTCTATATATAGGTGAAAGGAAGCTAATAAAGCTGGTATATTTGAATTTGTTCGTTCCAAATATAATCATTGTACTACATCAGTACTACACCGCACCTCTCGCCATCGACAAGTAATTTATCCCCACACGCTGGAATCTACGTGGGCTAGGACAGTGCGGTTTCAGAGGAGCTTCCTCCGCGTACACTTTCCGAGATTGTGGAATGAACTACCTGCCGAGGTTATCTTGCGAATATATACCATAGAGTCTTGCAAGAATAGTATATTAAGGTTTCTTAAGGGTGACGTGTACGCATGTTGCCACTATCGTAGTATAAAAAAATCTATTTCTTAATTTGGTAATTTAGTTCCATTACATTTACGTACTTAAATATTATTTTATCTGTCTATCTTCATGTCAGATTCTTTACGGGATAGGTTGCGATTTGTAGCATGTAGTCGTAATATTTAAATGTAGTCGTCAGTTCTGTTAACAAGAATACAAATTACGAACAATGACATAAAATGTAGTCCGAAAAAGGTATAATCAACTTTCATGACAATCATTTTGGATGAATCGGCGACGTATGTAACCGTGTGAGAGGGAAAGTGCATAGCCGGCGCCGAAAGGCAGACTTGTACTTTCTCGTTTGACGCGGCGAAGCTTCGATTTATGAGCCTCTGATAATATGAGGCCTTGTCAGTTTACGTGGGTTTTCTTTTGTAATCAATGTATAACTAACGTTAGAAAGAGGGATTGAATTTTAACATTTTTTTTTGTGTGTATGTACACACGATTTCCTTGTCAATACTGAACTTTTCATTATTCGTTTATACAGTTGATGTACATATTTTGTTTAGTGTTCCAACAAACACATTTTTAGCTTTGAATATTAGGATAGATAAGTGAAATGTGGACATGTCATGTGTCGCGTTCGCCGCGTATGACTATTATCTATCATTACATAGTATAAATAAAGTCGATGTTTTTGTTTATCTGTTTCTCTTCGTTCTTTCTTCTAGACCACGTAACGGATTTTGATATGGCTCTCATTATAATTGTAAGAATTTCTTCCAGAATATTTATGCATATAGTCATAAGACTACTATCTTTTATACTATACACGGTTCCGACATCACGTGATAGGATTACCATTCCGGATGACCAAGTTATCATGCATCCGTACTCTGTGATTTTTCTGCCTTATCTCATCCTTCAAGTGAAATACATATTGCCGGCTGCAACTCTTTCTTTCAACTCTTTTAACTTAATCTTTGGTATATTTTTTAATTTGTTATTGTTTGGCCATTAAATGAATTATTTAGCTGTAAAGCCTTCCTCGGTAAACAGGAATTGATGAGATAAAGATGCCCAAACATAAGTATTGATGTAAACAATAATAACTTCCAGGGGTTTCACAAATGCGCTAAATGAACGTGGCAGTATGAATATGTATCAGAGTGGCGAGTCACTAATGCGAATGTCCCCACCGAGCCTCGTGTCTTCCTTGCTTATGGAGAACTCGGGTACATTTAACGCAGAGTCACTGGACAGCAGGAAGTCTTTGCCCTCACATAGAGATTCAGGTATGTTTGTTTATTAAATTGAAATTACAAATAACTAAAGGCCCACCTTATGGTGAGCGGTAACTGCTATATACTGAACAGCACTACGGACAACACGTTATTGTGTGACACCCACGATACCACTTATGCTTTGCCTTGAGGCTGAAAAGATGTCATGCCTCTTATAAGGTAATTTCATTCCCTAATGTGCAGGATGATGATGGGGAATGAAATTAGACAGCCGGCTCATATAGTTGTGGCTGAGGGACAAACACATACGAGTTTGTATAGTCTACTTCAGTTTAACCATTTCTGTAACATGTTCTTGAATCTTAATTAAACAATCAATTACGAGGTCTTTTAGTCTATTAAATAAAATGCAATATGAAACTATAATAATGGCAAAATGTAATAATATAAAATTTATCAGTACAATGTCAAACGATCAGAATTGGTTCCAAGATTAGGTTAACGTCTTCGAATCATACATACTGGGGTCTCATATGCAGCTATGGGTATTATATTTGCCCTAACTTTTAATTGGAACTCGCATACATTTTTCTAAACCTTTATATGATGTACACACGACAATCTCTTGACTACAAGAGAGATAAAAAATATAAACGTAAAATTTTATAAATCTCTCACAATTAAATTATGTTACGTCGTTATATAGAAGATCCCATAATGGAGAGTAAAACCTCTAACGGTTACTTTACAGGTATACCTACGTCAGGCCGTGATAGCATAGACCCGATGCTGACAAGCATGACATTAAGTATCTTAGACGAAAAAGATATGAGCACAAGTTTCCTCTCACAAACTACATATCCAGACAACGATAGCCTTATGGACTCTCTACCTCCTAGTCTGGTTAGCTCTGTTAACTCTTCCTATGTCATATCCAACACTTCCAAACCAAGAGCAGACAATACAGATTCAAATATATTTAGTTCCGCCACATTTACACATTTAGAACAATCTGAAAAGTTGCTATCGGCGAGACCTAGGTGTCAATTGTACAATAGTTTCACAAAAAAAGACCCACCGATTCGAAATTCTGAAAGTTACACGAAATCACGAGAAGAGGGTTCGCAAATAGATCCAGTTAAGGTACTAAACGAAAACTGTGATAAGAAGGATACTCCTAAACAGGTTCCGCCCAAAATGAGCCCTGAAATGGGAGAAACAATAACATTACATTACGCCAACAACAAATTTAGCAGAAAAAATGACGCTGAAAAAGAGAACTTGAATGATACTTTTGAACATAACGACGCGTTCTACAAAGATATAGGCATGCAAAGAACACCCGAGGCCAAGAATAGTCTAAATGTTACACTGGATAAACAGGAACTCAATGAAATCATTCAAGCGCGGCAGAAGTTGTCTCTAGCAAGAAAAGCATTACCCACAGAACCGGATAAGCCGAACCAAGTCGATACATCGCCTATTAAAACAATACAACTGCCGAACCAAACGATCACTGTTCCAAGACAAAGTATGCAGAACGCATCAGAGTTGCTGTCCAGACGGAGAGCGATGAATGGTGGGTATGAAAGACACGAGGAACCTACCAGAGAGACGCCGAAACGAAATGCGACTTTCAAGAAGGCTTCACCGAAGACCGGTGCAATGGATGCCACAGTGGTGTACGTGAAGCCAGACGAGAACCAAATGATCGATATCAACTCTGCTACATTGAACCTCATTGACGCAGCCGACAGAACATTGCAACACGAGGTATGTGTAGTTAATAATACAATGGAATATAAAACGTTAGTTGTCAATATTATTATAAGTTTAAAAACCACAATAGGACTCTATACAATTCTTTTTTCAATAACATAAAAAAATCTCTGCACAACTAAACTATAAAACTATAGCAATATAAATTGCACCATAACTTTTACACTTCATCAGAATCACGTAATGAAAATTGTGATAAACTTACTATTTATTAATCGAATAAAACGGCTATGAACGGCTGCGAAAATTTCAAGGTAATAGTTTAAACACCCCCACTAACAATCAAACTGTTTCTATTTGTACACATATATATTATTCGCGTTATTTTTTTTTTATTACATATCCCAGTATGATTGTAGTGTTTTAAGTTTGTTACTACAAACTTCAGCCATTTATATACCGGTTTGATGATGTTGATACTGTGAAAATATATCCTATTTATTTTAGTTGTTAAAGTCGATTTTTTACTGGATGATATAATATAGATGATAATGGAAAGACTAAGTATAAATATAAAGAAATAAAGAATGTAAAAGGTAATGTGATGCTACAGGACTGGGGCTCTCAAGAACGCGCCATGGTGGGATCCAGTGAGAGTACGGACACGGGGACCTTCAGTTCGTCGAGTCCTCCTGATAGCGTGCCCGACGCCGACCCGCTGCGCAACGCACGTAAGTTTACAAACTGTCATAATTGTGACGTCATAAGCCAATGCAAATCTTTATGACGTCGTATCACATTTAATGATAATAATTTACTCTCATACTTTTTTATACACATAGTAACTTCTGACGGCTACTTAGTCAGTGTGAGCTAGAGCCAATATGTTATTAGACATAATGTCAAAAAAATTGGCGAGATTTGACGTTACTCATGTTTGAAAATCGCTAGTGTAATCACTGAATCATTATGAAAATCGTGGTTATAACTTTGGAAAATATAAAGCAAAGAATTAATATAATGATATGTACAATAATATAAAAAAGTATGACTTTATGAATCAGAAAGAAATGCAGATATTCTGAAAATTTCTTCTTTATTTAAAAGTTGTTTATATTTCTTTCAAAACAGGGCTCATTTTAGCTCAGCCTTAACTGCCAAATATTTATAATAAATAATTTCAGAATATCTGTCAGTATGGTGATGGATATCACATGCATAGCCATTACACAGACACTGCGAAGTTCATTTTATCACATTGGTTACGGTAAAGTACTTGTTTATGCAAATGTTTGTCCAGCAAACAATTATATTATGTCCTGAAAAAGTACTATATACTTTTTTAATTTCATGTAGTCATTATTTATAAGTAATATTAACGTCATGATAGGATCTTACCACGGATCATTCGTGTTATTGAATTTCCATATTTCAGCATATGTTAGTTTGCCCATAATTTGATGTTACCCAAATCTTTTATAAATAAAACTCAGTAATACAAATAAAACGTATTAGAATCCATTATTACTTTAATATTACGTGTAAAATTAATGATGTGTCGGTATTCTCAAATGAAAAATGAATAGGCGCTAAAAACACAATTACAGGCGCGCAAGTAGCTTCAACACCACTTGCAACAATGAAAATGGGAGCCAAGAATGACCTTCTCAACTTACACGCCACAATATCCCCCATATACGACATGATTGACGACAAATCGTATACTTTAACCAAAGTACCCAGTTGCAACTCAGCCATGGAAAGGACTTTCGATATGCACAATACAACAGTTATAAATAGTGCAACAATGGTGAAGAAATCCGCCAAAAGGGATATTTTGGGTGGGAAACCGAGCCCGGATAAAAAAATGTCGGGGCCATCTTGTCCACAGAAGTCGTCGCTTAATAGAATCTCACCTACCAGTACAGGTAAAGCAGGGTTAATGCTATCAAATGATTTCGGTTTCTTTTCTTATAACATCACAGCTTTACAGACAACCAGCTGCGTTGTTACTAAGAATATCTACTATGTGATGGATGGCACCAATATTGTGCTACATAAAGTACTAAACGGTTATGAGTTAAATGATGAGTAATAAATTTTTATTACACTTGATTTCAATTTTGTTATTAAGAAAAGAAACTGAATGTTTGTATTTTTCTTAGACGTTTTAATATATTTTCATTATTTATTAATATTTCTTATAATTACTCTTATTGATACTCCTCTGTAGTAAGTTAGGCATGATCTCTTATTCTAATTATTTTAAGTATAAAACAGTAAGTATATATTTATTTTTAGCTTTCTGTATGTTTTTATTTGTTCACTAATACGCTATTTTAGCTGGCACGCTTGCTTCTTTGTGTTTTCTTAAACTATATTGATTTATAATATATCATAAACTATTAATTATGTTAATATGCTCTTTCATTCCATATCTACATCATACACATTTATTGTCATTACAAATTTGAATCCAATACAATCATATCTATACATCCGTATTTTTCAGTTATCATGTATTTATCAATTATTTTGTTTATTATTACTGTATTATCTATCACATTATAATCTGTACATTATGACAATCATCCTTTTTTTCCGTACATTAGCCGTTATCAGAAGCTTAGTTTTGAATCTGTATGTTACAGGATCTTACAGTTCGATGGCTCCACCGAGCAACGTACCGAGAAAAACAAATTTACCGACCTCCAAACTTAGGCAGTATAGCTCACACAGAGAACTTAGCAGAATACCCGGTACGAAACTAACATATGCACATACATATCTACACAACCCTGCGCATATACATACACTCGTACACTCTCCACAGACATACGTGCACATACACATATTATCTACCATTGGATACACAGATATACTTACATATGAATTCGTTTAAATGGCCTTGAATTTAATAATGGTTGTTTTATTATGACGTCTAAAAAGGCTATATCTAAATCTAAATAAAAAGGCCACATCGTGGCAGTGCCCATAGATAAATTTTATCACAATAAATCTAAAATTTATTGGGTTATTTTACAGGTGTGGTGTACAACAAAATTTTATTTAATTTAAAATCGGTCAATTTCTTTTATATTTGTACTTGTAAATGGGAGTCGTAATAGGTATAATTAATATAATAAATAATAATTAATATAATATAATAAATATAATTCTTTCAAATGCGAGAATAAATTCTTTTACGTAGAATATATGGCCTTATAAATTAATCAAAAGTAAAACTAACATGTAATTATTGCTTACTTACCAAACGTAGAGAGTGAAACAAAAGGTAAGTAATGATTTCAGTCTTAGTAAGATAGTTTGCTGTAAATGCTCCTAAACTGCTAATTGCTTTGTATAGATTATTTAATAATTTTACCTTTAAATTTATTATATTAGTTTACATGCATGTAACAAATAGTGATTCCATTTAATTCTTTTTTTATTGCATTAAAATTTATTTATCACCGTCTTAGCCATTCATTCTTAAGGTCTATACTTGGTCTCTCACAAGGAATAGTATTGAGCCCCGTGCATCTGTCGATTCCCTACAATGTGTTTGAAGTGAAGCAATCATTTTATAGGGTATTATTACCTATGCCCCAATCGCTATTTTTTATAACTTTTGTGTACGTGCTACTAATGTAAAGAGAAATCATCAAGAACACTTATGATAGTTATAATTTAATAGGAAATTTATTTATCGTCGATAAACAATAGCCCGATTTTGTTATCTATGAGGAACTAATTTGTTGTGTGAAAACAAAAAGTTATGTCTACATTAGCGATTAACTATATAAAAGAAATTAAATTAAATTAGGAGCATTCTTGTATGGATATTTTTTTTTTTTTGACACCTAACCAATCAGAAAATAAACTCGTCTTATTAGAAGCTTAAATCAATATGATATGATAACATATCATGGTAACTACCCATTATCATTCCACGTTGGGAACTAATCAGGATAATAGGAAGATTTAGCTACTACTAGCGGTTTCCCGTAACTTTGTCTTCTTTATGATATATGATTAAGATGAAAAATAGCCTAAGTCAGCAATCCTCGGGTCAATGTCAAATTTCATTAAGATTATTCTACTGTTTACCCGAGAGAAGGTAACAAATAGACAGACACGCAATAGATAATATTAATTAGGCTGTGTCCCGTGGCGCGGCCTGCGCCACGGAACATTAATATAATAATTATACATTTGGTGTGAATAAAAAAATAATACTACATTTTTTTATTCACACCAAATGTATAATCGTATTCTATTAAACTAATTTATTTTTCCGAGTACATAGGTAGCATACATTGCAGAGAATTTACCAATGGAGATACCATTGCTAAATTCTAGGCCGAGCCTTTATTATCGACTAGTTTCAGGGATTTTGGCAAATAAGCCTAAAATTACTTTATTACAAACAATTAAATCCTACCTCTTAATAAACAATCTTTTAATACATTTAATGATACAGGAAGCAACTCGGCGGCGGCGATACCGAAAAGTATTGTAGGACGTACAATGGTCCGACGCAACGTGTATGCTTCGAACCCAGCACTCAGCCCCACCTCAGCCGCCCCTCCAGTGTCATCCCTAAGGCGGGAATCATTCACGGTCACTGCCGATACGCAGGTATTGTTATCTTAATACCTTGTTACTGTTATATATTGAGCCCAGTGTTCAAACCGTTAAGAACATTGCTTCGTCCTGCGTGCGTCACCAGTACAGTACAAATTTGATTATTTTTTTAAATTAATAAATAATAATGATAACGCAGGAAAACTAACACAGCGCTATTCAGTCCCAAGCTAAGCAGAGCTTGTGTTATATATTTTTATTGCATGTTGTATTTGTAAATACATATATAATACAAAATTCTGTATTTAGGTAATACACTTCTATTTAGTTCTATATAATTGTTGAAGCCTCCTTTTAAGCACAAACATTCTTCCACTCTTCCACAGCTATATAGTGAGTTAAAGTAAAAATAGAAAACACGCAGGCCGATTTAAGTGTAGTAAAGAATATATATAATATAATAATGATATACTGTTTCAGAACGATAATCAGTCACAGAAACCGCTAGTGACCGCACCCCCTGCGTTGGTTAGACAAGGCACCGAAACGTTACGCAGAGAGCGGCCGCAGAGCCAACTCGTGGCACCCAGAGATGTGAGTATAACCGTTATAGTAGGTGATGGTTACATGTTTCCGTGGTTAATTTTTTAGGGCACCTTTCATTAAAGATTTAGCATTCATATTTAGTTTATATAATCACGTATTATTTAATACAATTATGAAAAGACAAGTGAAAACATATTCAACGTAGAATATTCTGCGTAATATAAGCACAGTCACACACATGCATGTAAATCTAAGCCAATGGCGAAGTATTATAACTTCCCCTTGGCGTGAATATCGCCATTACCGTAAATTTCACAGTTCTCTTCTACCAGGTAAATTAGTAAAAAAATAAATTAGTAATTTCATTTATTTTTTCTATTTCAAGTCAGTCCTGCGTACGATTATTACAAGAATTTACATTAAAAAAAAAACACATCACACAATCATACATCACTATTGTTCATTCTTCTTGTGTAGAATCTGCGTTCCGAATTAGTGGTACAATAAAAAATGTGACTATTCAAGTGCTTGTATTGAGTTTATTTGAATAAATATTATTTCTACTTCTATCTCTATTATACAACTTTATATACATAACATACACGCATAACTGCCCAAATGAGAGGCTAAATGCCGTGAACAGAGTCCAACATACAATACACATAACATATATATGTATATGCTATATGCATCTTTATTGAAAGGAGTCCTAATATCAATTACATGTTTGTCGCATTTATAATGTTACCGAAAGTTCGCTACTTATCCGACCGACCATCTAAAATAATCTTTTTCCATCAATGTTAGCTTCGAAAATTAATAGCGTTAATATTGTTACAGAAAAAAAAATATTATTATATTTTTTCTATGATGTCACTAATCTTGTCGTTTATTTAACAATAGCATTTAGTTATAATGTATGGTCAACAAAAAAATATCCGTAGATTTTAAAAATTAAATTTAATTATATATTTTTTATTCTATAATGAAATGGTATACTGTGTTAATCATGAACGAAGTCGAAGTCAAATATAGAATGCTTATATAGCTCAACCACTTTAAAAAATAATGAGAGAAAACTGAAAATGAATTTTGTACTTCATACTAAACCAGACCGCGCAGTTTATGTGAAAGTGCGAAGTGTCGTTGCCCGCTAACTACCACCTGTGTCACAACATCAGGTTGGTTGGAAGAGATCTCTTTCAGAGATAATGTGCGAAAGGGTGGGCGCCTTGCTCACATTTTTGTATAACCATCTTTATTTTTTTTAATGTTACAAGTGCAATAAAGTCTATTAATTGTTTTATTAGTGAACAACTTTTCCAAAAAAGCAATATGGAAAATACACTGCTTTTTTGGGAAGTTCTTCACTTTCATGAATTTCACTGGCTTTAGCTTTACGACTTGGTGTACCCTTTACAACTAATATTGTACATAGTAATATATTTTTTAATTGTATATAACATTGCACTAATGTTATCTGTTGTGGATACATTGCACTAACCGTTCATGTAACTACCATACATGTATCAGTTGCGCGGTATCAACTCTACGGTCAGCAGCAACATGCCAGTAGCGATGCGCAACCATCATATGCCCGTAAGTTGTTTTTGTGTAATAATAGCCTACATATAACCGTAATACCATAGGAAGAGTTCGAGAAAGATCGTCGATATTCGTATTTATGGTTTCAATAATAATTAAACTGTGTATGATCTATAAAACCTATTAAACACTATGGGAGTGTATTGAAGCAACGCATCCGAAAGACGAATCAATCTCTTGACAGATGACCGCCAAATCTGCAGAAATGAAGCTGGGAACAAATTTCTTATGAAATTGTGCAATCAGATATTGCACTTTCATAAGAAATTCGTAATATAAATACGAAATATATGCAAATAAAAATAACTGCACTATTTGTTAATTTTCCATTTAACAGCTCATAAGGGGCCATCTTAACTGTAACTAACTGTGAGAAAGATGAAGGGGAATCAAAAACTAACCCTATCTTAAATTTTATATTTATAAATTCTAAGAAATCAGTATTTAACTTTATTTAAAATACTTGGTGGCCCTTATTCTGTTTTGACTAATATAATATACTTTTTGTAAATCATCTTGCATCTGAATATTCTAAATTTTACCCACAATTTCTATATTATTGTCCAGTCTTGTTTATGATCCAGGCAATAGACATGACGCCCCATTCGACTCTTTATTATTTTTATAATTATATGTTCAATGAATATATACTTACAGCCGTGTCAATCTTTAGTACTTTATTGGTATTATAATTATATTAAATTAATATATTCTTACAGCCACCAACGACACGACCGTACTCGATAGCGGGCGCATCGCAAGTACGAGTCACGAGGCCGGGCTCCGTGCCATTACAGAAACCAGTGCCAGGTATGTCTAATATAAATATTTTCTACTAAATATGGCCGCAGTTTCACCCACGTAAAATCATGTGTATTCTGATGTATAAGCTATATTATTGTAAAGTTTAATTAAAGTCCATTGAATAGTTTTTTTCGTGATAGCGTAATATAAACATCTATCCATCCATACATACTCACAAACTTCCGCATTTGTAATATTAATAAAATAATAAGATAGTTACTGGGGTAGACTTTGTATAAATTCGACTGTGGATATGACAATACTGTCTTACATACGCTTGTACTGTGTGCCGATACGTTTGTATTGTATATAACAGCCGCCCAGAAGCTTACTTTGTAAATTGTGTTTATGCTGAGGAGTGAGATGGGAGTAATAGAGTATACTTCAAGATTAAGACTACGTTGGTGAAATTATTATGAAATGTGTATATAAAAAAAATATATACATAAATATAAAATATATAGTGGTCGAAATTCAGCACAGATTTTAACAATAAACAAAGAGTATATATTCGTGTGTGTGTTAAATACGTGGTAGAGTGTGTAATGTTTTTTTTATTGTTGATTTAATGTATTTTTATGCATAATTTTAATACAATATCACCTTCATCTATAGAAATTACGAGTGTGTGAAGTTTTCGTAATTTTCGTAAAAATGAGCACAATGTTTTTGTTTCACGTAATTAATATATGTATTTACTGTATGTATACAGTAGCAACGTCGGCGACAACGGACCAGCCGCGGCCGGCGTCGAGTTCAGAAGCGCGTGTGTCCGCCCTCCCGCGCCCCTCGCGTCTGCCCGCACCCCGCCGCGCCCTCAGGTCATTACACAATAATAATAACAACCCAATACATTTAACACAGCCCTTTCTCGTCCCCAGTTAAGCTGAGATTGAGTTATGGGTACTAGAGATAGTTCCTTATTATATACATCAACAGATATACATACACATTGTAGGTTCCTACTGGAAACTATCGTGATAAATTCCTAGTGAATTTGTCACGATGCACCAACTGACCTGACCTACGGCTCATCTTATCATCCTCCACTGGTGCCCCGCCAGCGTAAACCGTTAGCGTAGGCGGGTGCACCATCCCATAGTCAATCATCCATAAAAACACAGTATAATTTAAAAATTCTGCGCATTTTGCCAAGATGAAGAGGAAACGCCACTACACATCCTATGTAGTTGTAGCCCACTCATGCATAAACGAAATATCTCCTTTGGAAAAATAAACTCTATCCTGAGCAAATAATAACCATCGCTTCTAAGAACATAGTTCAATTCTTGTCCATGACGGGTCTAGCAACGAACTTTGAAAAAGGGCGAACACGACAGATATATATAGGTCGCAGTGACATAGGCCTAAACTCCTGACGATAGCCTAAAATTGGTATTTTTTACATGCATATTTTACAACACAGTATAATTTTTGAAAAAGCTAAGTGTAGTGTATATCCTGAAAGTCTCAATTTTAATAGTAAACGCTGTACATGTACAATGCGTTATATTATTTATTAAATGTATTATTTTTACTTTATTTCCAGACCACCGTCAGTATACTCAGTGGCGCCAACGGCAGACCTAGACCACTACTGACGAATACTCTGTTGTGCCAACGTGCTAGGAGGGAAGTCCTAGCCCACCCGATAAATTTATAGTTACTAACGACTGACCGAAGTAACACTGTGTCTTGAGATTTACCAATGTGATGACTGTTTGCTTCACTACATACATTTTTAATCTTTTTTTTTACATTAGATATTTATAGAATCAATTATTGCCAGTATTTAACTGTACTATAAGTTTGTTATAAATTGAAATGACGGTGATAGAAACACAAAAAACTAAAGTAATCCGATAGATGGCGGTAGATAGTATCGTCACTGCCCCATCGGATGCAAATAAACCCGGCGAAATGTGAACGTGGCAAGTGTTTTAATTCACCTCGTCGTCGATAGTTACTGCATCTGACTACCCCATAACTGTGATAACAGTCAAGAAGACATATAAATTGGGTAAAAGTAATCTTGAGAAATGTAGTAACATTTTGCTCTCTGATGAACATTGATGGAATAGCATGCAAGGACAATTATGGGAACTCTATTAAATTAATATCACTGACCAATTTTTAAGAAATGGATCACGTTTTAGGTAAATTTTTGTAAACAATTATTTTTATTATATGAAAACGTTTAGCTAGGAAATATTATTAATGACGTTTGAAACATTGTAAGCATCCCAGTGTCGTCTCTAATCATGGTTTGATATCGGAAACCTATATCTTATAATTTATGACAGGGATTACAATTGTCAGAATCTCGACCTGTCATGACAATTTAACAGTTTCGATTCCTTGTGCAATTGTCAATTGTAAAACTGTCATTGTATTGTACTGTGATGCACTTCTCATGTGAATCTCATCAAAATGGCGATGGTACAGGAATTAAATATTAAATTTGTACAAAATATAGAGTTTGTCCTTTTATATAAATTTACTTTTTCTACTACAAATTTCTTTTACATCTATACTAGAAACTACTTTTTTTTATCACAAGATTCAATCGACGCTTCTGTTATCAGTAATGTGAGCTACTAGTGCCGACTTTTCCTTTATTTTTTTAATTTAATAAATTCAAGTGTTCAATTAGCATTTGACTGAGGTATCGTATAACACGAATATTGAAGAATGAAGCACGTAAGAAATGGTTAATATGTGGCTAAAAAGGTTTATGATCCGTCATAGCCATGTTATAAATTATTTATTTGACATCCAAAATTTTTGTCTCGAAAATTTTGATATTGTCATGAAATTGAGCATTGAAAAGTACTTTTCGGATATTGAAAAGTTACAAATTTCAATCTCATTGCATATTTAATTCAGTGAAGCACTCTTAGGGTGGAGGATATGAATATTTCATCGTTGTGTGCAGCACGATTAAAAAATGTTAATTTTATTACTGAACTCAAGAAACTTATGACCTCTTAATGACTGAAATAAATGTCATACATATCTATGGTCGTGTCTGGACATCTAATTGTAATAATCGTGTCACAGATATGTTGCAACACGTCGAAAGTTTTATATCTGTAACTTGAATCACTCTCACAATGTTCTCATCATGGAAGCTCAAACTAACAAAATTTCTGTATGAATTATAATTTGGTACAAAGACATACAAATTAAGATATTATTCCTATATTATTTAGAAATTTAGTACGTTAGTATATGGGATGTTAACTTCGTGCTTAGTAATTTATTTCATAGTAAGACATTTTTGCATTTTTTTATTTAGATATTGTAATCGTTTAGAAATATATAATTACTTTGCTTTTAGAGATTAAACATTTAATATGGTCTGTAACTTTTGTATTATAATAATATTTCGAGTTTATGCACAAGCACGTGGACACGTTTTTGTAAAGAAAATTTTAATAAAATATTACTTTTATGACATATTGGCTACATATCTTCACGTTGGCAATGTTACGCACAAAATATGTATATGATTTATATAAAAAAAATCTCTTGTACATTTTGTAAATTCTAACTTTTGTGTTTAATATATTATATGTCTATATCACTTTATATCAAAACATACTTTCCTATATATTACATTATAGCATATCCAATCTAGTTCGTAACAATGTATTCGATTAGTCATTTGACTCGTTAGCACAGTTTTTTCAGACTTGTATTCAAATGGCTTTGTAATCTATATATGTTATTGTATGCATCGATATAACGCCGGCCAAAATTATAGTATATTGAGCAGGTACTCAATAAGTGACAGCAATAATGTCGCACACGATTGCGACTGCATTGTATATTTTGTAAAAGTAACTTTAATTGTATAATGTACAGGATCGATTGTCGTCTCTTATGTATTATAACTAAATACCTTTTTAACAAAATTGTTTCGCAGCAGTTCCGACGGCCGACGTATGGTGCGCCTCGCGGCTTGTTCGGTAACGTCGTGCCTTATTTAGGTAGTTTAAGGAATTTTGTTTTCATTTTCTAATAAAAATATGTATTTATAAAGACTTCATTATTTAAGTCATTTTATTCTATCCTCAAACCTCAGTTCCCACCTAAGACTGCCATTCTTTAGACACTGCATACATGGGGTTTTTCAAGAAGGCTATATTATGACGCGCAAGAATCCCCTGGTGCTTCAGGTGTCCATAGGATAAGGTAATCATTAACTATCAGATGGGCCATATGCTTGATTGCCACCATTCAAATTAATCAATCCTCAAATTGTACCTATATAATGAAACAGCTATAAAGTTCTAATAAAAAAATTAATCTAGTCCCACGGTAAGCAGAGCTTGTTTTATGGGTACTAGACAACTGATATAAATACTTAGATTTATTTGTAATTACAAACCTCTACATAGAATACACCCAAACCGATACAATCATACTCATGGATACAAATGGTTTGTATTGTGCGAGGAATCGAACCTGCGACCATTAGAAGTAAAACGGTATGCTAAACCGTTAGACCACCGAGGTCGTCAATCAATCTAATGGTCTCCTAGCTATATTATCTAACTCTACATATTATAATAATACGAGCGTTTGGGAAGATAAAAAAACTAACCAAGGTTTAAGGTAATCCCCCAAAAAACCAGTCGATGTAAGTTAGTACCTACATTTACACTATATGGTAACTATCTAAAGTCGATTATAAATACTTTCTAACTGGGGGGAGGGGAATTGTTAGGTAGTTTAATGACCCCATTACTAGCAATGTACCATAACAGGTTGGTCTCCATGCGGTTCCCCTGGAAACCATCGTGATAAATTATTGGTGAAATTGCCAAGAAGGGGCATCTAACCCGTCTTCATACTCATCATAACATCCTCCACTGGTGTCCTGCGAAAGTCGTTAGGGTAGACGGGTGCACCATACCATTATTATCCATTAAAAAACTATCTAATCAGTTTCTCTCTCTGATCTCTATGATTATAATTGAAAAATGTTCAAACAATATTCTGTAGTACAGTTGTCCCAGAAAATAAATATTGCATAAAAAATAATGGCGTACCTAACAATTATTTTTTCACTTTGCATGTTATTAAACTTTCAAAAAATAAAAGCTATTATCAAATTACCTAATATCTATATTTATCAAAGTTCAAATTTTTGTACCCATTCTGTATCTACGCCGTCTTGTCATTGTCACTGTCAAGCTGTCATTATCAGATAGACACTAGCGCCACAGCGCTGTCACATCTTGTTTCACTGTGTGCATGTGTGTATGTGGAATAAAATCGCATCACACGTTACGTGAGTGTGCGACGTCGTGAGTACTAATTTTTGCTTTATACGTTTTTATTTTTATAATTAAACCAATGTGTAGCAAGTGCTTAGTAACGTAATAACCATAAGTGATATGAAATGTGATATATCAACGCAATGGCCAATATTATTCGCAATGTTTTCATCGCTGTGATTCCGTGCAATAGCTCGTCATTTGAGTTGTTTGCCCATGACGTCTCCGTTTAGCGCGACGAAAAGTGGAATTTTAGTTTGATTGTGACATCTAGTGCAAACCTATATAATATAAATTGTGATAATTGATGTGTGTTTATAAAATGGATGAGCGTTCTCTTTACTGGAACCTATCTATACCAACTGGGGCCATCAGAGGTGGCTCATGAAGAAAGGGTTAGTTCACCTGTTTGTTTACTTTCTTAACCATACATACCTGTTTGATGAAGTGATTTTTGTATCTAATTACGATAACACTAGGATATCTATGTTTATCTTTTAGGTATAGGTTATGTGTATACGCCAGCGTATTGTTTATTCGTTGTCAAGTACCCATTATATGTTTAATATATCAAATACTGACACTAGAGTATTATATTGGATATTTATTTATCATAAATTTTATTAAAGTTTCAGATATGGTTTAGGATGTCTTATTTTTCTTTTGTTACTTTCTCTTATCCATTGAGTGAAGGGAGAGAATAAGATAGATAGAGGGAAGGTTGCATACGCGCGAAAGAGATAGCGCTCTACGTAGCGAATTCTATGGCCGTGTTTTTGATTCCTATGATTGCTACTTACTTAAATAATGCCACTTTTCCAATGTAATTACTTATGTACTTTAAAGTAAAAGTGAATACATACTAACATACTAACTCCATTCACATTTAGACATTATACAACTGCTTTGACAGACATTTAAAACTACATTATAACTTTTTCTAGATTTGATAAGAAATCTGTCTAACTTTGACTACTCTCTAGAACTTTTATTTTATTATATTTAAATTTATAGGAAAATTATAAAGCTCTCTTACTATGATTATAATATGGGAAGATAGTTAATGTACCATATAATAATTATATAATGTAATGTATGCATAAAATCAGTTAGTGTGATAGCCTTGAGGATCACAAGCAGTCTAGTATTTCTTGTTTTGCATTGACAGCAAGCAGGTCCTTCATAAAACATATTTGGTTTTGCCATAAACTGGTTTAGGTTTAATTAACAATAAAGTATGAAAAAATTATACACTATATTCATAATTTCTTAAAAAATATATGTTACCTACAAATAAGCAACTTGTTTATTAGTCTATGTTTGTTCAGACTAATTCTGGACTAATATTCAAGCATATTTCTTACATTTTCTGTAGAACCTTCTAGAATTTTTTGTTCTGATTAATTCTGATAATTTGGATAAAGTTGCTCAGAGAACCTAGTATATGAATTTACAGTTATTGATAATACAGATTCAGCTGAAAAATGAATAAGTGTACTCAGCTGTGTCTTTCCAAACAAATGAAGAAGTTTATAGATTTTGTTATTATGAATAATGCAAACTACCCAACAGCTCAATTCCAACA